AAGCTGAGAGAAAATCAAATCTTACTTTGGAATATTTACCTGGAAAGAATGTGCTCTTATCTCTTCAAACGGGCAGCGGCAAATCATGGTGACAAAATCGATCTTTACTACTGTTGTTTGTGACTTAAGTTTTTAAACTAATGTTAGTTTAGTCCACATATTTCAAATATATATATTATATAGCCTACAAATGATCAGAGCCTTACTATCAGTATCTTAACTTTCTCTCATTGTGTCATTGTCTGTATTTATTCATCTAATCATGATCAGTATCAGGAGTAGAGGTAAGTACAGGGAAATAAAATTTTGATTCATAAATTCAGATGACAGTTTTAATGAAATATGAATTAACTGAATGATATCATGACTTGGCATTTTTTATACTATTGTATAAGTCCATTCAGATATTACAGAGCTTGTACCCTCAGGAAAAAAAAATAACATGAAATGTCCCCACCCTTCTGACTCCAGAGAAATTTTCTGTGCTCTCTTCAACTTGAAAATCAGGGATGAATGATCAAAGTAAAAGTTTTGTTTTTGTGTATTCAAGCATAATTTACTTGTAAATTCATATGAAAGTAAGCAACTTATCTTCAATCAAAAGTGAAAACTTGAAATTACTTACTATAATCTGTACTGTAACCGACCCTTCAACTCAGTCGCCGACAATCGAGTGATCATAAACAAGTTTTAACTCAAGCAAGTCTTTCACATCACCTCACGTCGGCCATATCTTCCTGTTTTCATGAGTTCAGGGGTCAAATATGACGTCAAAAGGTTAAAGGTTATGTTTACTTATGTTAATTAGCCACGTGCAATTTAACAAGCACCTGTCAAATAGCGTTGAATAAAATTGGAGTATTGATAAAATACGAATAGTGAATTCAAATTAATATTTTCGATGATTTAGTACAGCTATAACATCACGATAGAAAAGTTAGAAAATATGATTTTGGCCTATGTCAATGATGTAACATAGATCTAATAAGGTGGAATACAAACTTCACATTTTTGAGTTTTCCAGGATCAAATATTTTGTGAACAATAATTTATAGTTTACTACAACGATTTATAATTCAAGATTTCAGTGAGATTAAGATGGTCAATATTGATTATCTATATTTGAAAATTACTCATAGTCATATAGTTATGACTATATGAGGGTATAGGCCCATACAAATATCATGCTATGCAATAACTGATCTGATATTTGACCCCATATCATAAATAATAGCTACAAATCTCTTTGATGTTTCAACTTTGGTCTAAATAAAATACTTCATTGGAGTTCAACAATATAACTCTCCCACAGAAACAAACTGAGCAACATTTCTTGTATATTCAGAAGAATCAAGCTCTGTGTCAAGCAATGTGTCAAATTATAGTTATCAATGGACTGTGACTACCATTCAAACCAAATAATAAATGTACCTATTATTTGCATGTGAACATTCCTTATCTCCAAATATTGAAAAATTAAACTCATGTCCAAACCATGTCAAAACAATTATTAATCACAATTATTCATCCAATCTAACTTATTGATAATATGAATTGGATCATTGTTTAGCCACAAATAGTTGCAGCCCAATCTTAGCAGCTTTCTCAGAAAGCCTCTGAAATCGTGCGCCTCTCAATGTATCTCTCACCTTGTTGACTTGAGATAAATCAAGCTTCTAGCTGCCACAAGAGTATGTAGGTTTTAAACTACCACGTCATCAGCTGTAGCATATAATACAATGTGTAATTCTTACATTTCATATATATGTAGATACCAATATGTAGAACAGGTGTTTCGTTTCGTATGAATGTGTTCTGAGAAACTACCAACCATACTATACTGTATTTCTGGTGAATAATTCATGAACAGATTTCTGACATCTGTTATTTCACAGAGCTTGATTTCATAATGTATTAACGCGAATTGAGAGAAAAAATACTAGTGAAAATAGAGTTTTATTTCATCAGATTTTCTATCTGTTTCTCGGACTAGTCAACAATAAACAATATCATACAACAAACATCAATAACAACATGTTTACAGATTAGAGGGATTGTAAAGAGATTGCAAGAACCACAAAAGTCTGATGAAAATTGGAATGGTGCAAAATTGATGCTATCAGTGTCTTTGATACACATAAAAAATTTAGAAAACATCTTTACAATCCCTTTAATAAAGACATTTATAAAGATCCAGGACAGTTTAAAAACATGAACAAGAGAAGTCTATTTTGTTTCATAGTAAAATAAGTTGTACTTCAAACCATTTTATATTCTTGGGACGTATTTTACAAAAATATAATTCTCCAAATTGACCACTTTCTAACTTTACTGAGTACTTAAATTTTCAAATGCACTTATTTTGGGAAACCTGGTCCAGAACAATCATGTGTTCATTACTACAGGTACTTGTAGACAGGATAAGAATAGCCTTTGGAAGTTCGATAATGCATTTAAGATTTGACTGATATCTATAATTAATATAAGTCGACTGGCAAAATCTCAAATGCTTCACTAAAGGCTATCTTGTCCAGAACTATCTTGTGTTCATTACTACAGGTACTTGTAGACAGGATAATGATAGCCTTTGGAAGTTCGATAATGCATTTAAGATTTTGCCAATTGACTGATATCTATAATAAATATAAGTCGACTTGCAAAATCTCAAATGCTTCACTAAAGGCTATCTTGTCCAGAACTCTCTTGTGTTCATTACAGTTTAAAGTACATTAACTACTCAGTTACAATGACCGTTCTTGTCTTGAATCATCAAGGACGACCATAAATATCTTTGATAAAATATGTCTATAACTATAAAGACCATACTATAGTTAACATCAAACCAATATACTGACATTTAATTTTCTCTATTCTATATGTCAGCTTTGAATCTAATTTAAGCTATACATTTCAGTGTAAAATGCTATGTAACAGCAACATAAGAAATAATTTTCTCACTTATTTCCCTTATTTCCCTCCAAAGAGATATATCTACAGAACAGAACTATATCAGCCAGTTTAAAAAAAAAAGTGAACACCCCATTTATTTTACACGGATAACAACTTCGCTTAGCACCAAGGATCCTTACTACCAGCTGTTCCAAAAATCTTGGCATTTATCTGCACCAATTTAAAGCTGGGTTGCCTTATGAAAGATGACTTATAGGGATCACCAGACTTTCACACAACTAGCTTTTGATTGACATAATCAAGCAAACAATGTTGTTTAAAGATCTAATTGACTGCATTAGAGATGTACAAGTCTATCTTAAATACAAATATGGAAAACTCTTCGACAAGGTTTTATAATAAACGATTTGTTTTTGTGAGGTTACATAGCACAATCGGTTAGAGCGTTGGTTCTTAACATGACATCATTTGTTTGGTTACGTTGAGCAAATGGCAACTGTGGGTTCAATTCTCGATCGGCATGTGATAGTCCGATGACCTTGAATAAGTCATCTTCACTCATAATTCCAGTTGACCCAGCAGTAAATGGATACAGATTTAACAGGGAAAGATCAATGCCAAGAGGTTTGACCAAGAATCAGCTGGTAGAAAGGATCCTTGTAAAATACAGTTGCTTCTTTCTTTCTTTCAAAATACAAGAGAAAAAACCGTAATACCCGGAAAATAAATAATATCAAAATTTACAACTGAGATAAAATATATCAGAATTAATAAAGATATAATTTATAAATATATTATAATACATTCAGTAATAATGCCAAGTTGTCAGTGGTAATCACATCAAAGATATTCCATTAACTGCATTTTTGTGGCAGAGGAATAGCTCAATCAGAATAAAAAAAAATCGACAGAAACCCTAACCAAAAGAATGACTTTTTCACATTTTGATTTATTAAAAGTATGTAGGCACTATAATATGAATTCATTTGATTACACATATTTTGATCATTTAATAGTTCTATATACAAGCTTCTCTCTATATATGTTTAAAGATTAACTCTTTCATTGGAAAATTGCAATTTGTAAATAAGTTGGATAACATCTTTGACTTGTAAAATGTGGAGATTGAGATTTTTTTTTAATTCAATGAAAATCTACCAAAAATAACAGGAAATGCCTGTATGTTTTCAAATCCCATATATAACATGGACATAATAATTATTTCTTGACAATTATAAATAAACCATTGTTTAAAAAATTCCGACCCATACATAAACAATCTTCTTAAAATATCACAATCTTATCTTTCAACAATTATATATCTAGCTAATTCTATAAACGCTATACAGAGAATTTGAATTTGTCATGGATGGTATGGTTTTAAGGGCTCGTTCACACAAAAGGCAAGGCAGCACAACGAAGAGCATAGCAGGTGGTCAGAAGTTCACATATAGACAGTGCAGGGCCACCTGAAATCAATCATTGGCTATGGTAGATTTTGTGTGTGCGTTCCTATTGCTTGCAAATTGAATTTCTGTGTGAACTAGACACTAACTGGTCGTCTTCAAACTGCCCTTAACAGCTTGTAGTGTGAACTGGGCCTTAAAGAAACCCTGAGCTGTTGATTTCAAATTTTACTCTGTACAATAAAAATTTTGAATCATGTTATTTTACTCTACTTATTTAACTATAGATATGTCTATCACCAACAAGAAAGGCTAAAATGACTAAAATACAGTCATTTTCATTGCTAACAGAGTTTAAATCTATGCACAAAACTAAGTCATAAAATTAATGACAAATTTAACAATAGCATCAACAACAAGAATTTCATTTTACAAACAATAAAAAGATGACCAGCACCAATGGGAATGCTTCAACAGTAATATCTTCACAATCATTAGATATAAATTCTGTATTATTCTTGAATGTCTAAGTCAATATATCCTGGGTTGCAGGAACCAGGTTAACGAAGCTCCTTCAGCTGGTAATACGAGTATCTAAACAACTTCAAGAATCCTATGAAATCTATCACAAAATTTATACCAAGACTGTGGAGATTTCAATAAATACACTTAAACGAGGTTTCACTAGACATGGATCTTCTGAACACGAGTTTCTAACTCTACGGCGCTGACAGTCAGTGGCCACATGCCACCTATGATTCCAGCTTGTATTGAAACACCAGTTGCTACAGCTAACTCTGGGTCCACAGACGTATTGGGACGTTTTCTAAAAAAGTCTTGAATAATTTGTCTAACTTTAGGCACACGAGTTGAACCCCCCACTAGAACGATTTCATCTATATCACTTTTTTCCAGTTCCACAAAATTTAACGCTGTTTTTATTGGTTCTAGAACTTTTTCAAATAAGTCTTTATTTAGTTCTTCAAACTTATGTCTTGTGATGATTTCTTCATAAATTTTATTGTCAAAGGAATGAAGTTTAATGTGTATAAATGCACGGTCTGAGTTGGTCAGATTAATCTTGGCCTCCTCCACCTGATTTCGTAAAATTTGAGCATCTTCTTTATCAACGAGCGGCCGAGAGAATTTCTGATTGATCTGTTGTAATAAATATTGTAATAATCTTTGATTAAAATCTTGACCACCAAGTTGATTATTACCTAGAAAAATATAAGAAAATTAGGAATTTTTCATTTAAATAATATAAATGTCTTTTTAACTTTGTATAATTGGAACAGTTTGATCAAAATTCAGCCCTAGAAATTTCTTTTGAATTACTTTTAGGGTGGTTTCACAGGTTTTTGTACAGTGGATCATACAATTTTTTTCAACTATTGAGTGACAGAGTACATTGCTCATACTTCATATCAATCAAGAAAGGGTACAAACTGGTAAAGTGAAACACACATTACATACTCTCATGATAATCAAAAGGAATGTATTAGCAAAGAATAGTTCACCATAATAATAACCATATGATTTGTAATGTAGGTTATATCTGACAGGTCTTAACTTGATCATAATTTGTGAGGTTCTGTCAGTTAAAGCATTGGTCCTTGATGCTGTCATTTGCTTGGTTACTTTGAGCCAAGTGTGATCGTCTGATGACCTTGAATAAGTCATCTTCACTCATAATTCCAGTCGACCCAGCTGTAAATGGGTACAGATAATCCGGGAAAAATCAATGCCAAGAGGTTTCGTGAAGGTTCAGCTGGTAGAAAGGATCCTAAGATGTTATCCTTGTTGTTTCTTTCTTTTCTTAACAGAACACCTTACCTGCCATAGCTTGTGTAAGGAACATTCCACCTTGTACCATCAATATAGAAACATCTAGTGTACCCCCTCCTAGATCTACTACTAATATAGTCTGCATGTTGGGATGTTTGTGTAAACCATAAGCCATAGCAGCTGCTGTCGGTTCATTGATTATTCTTAACACCTCCAGACCTGTAAAAAAACAATTAAAACAGTAAGTATTCATAAATGCCCTGAACTTTGTCAAAGGATGAAGAATCCTCAAATTTCACATTTTTGAGGCTGAAACTTAAAACGCCTTCAAACTTTGGGGACCCCTGATTCCAATTACATGTACTCTGCAAACCAAAAATATTTGATCTAACCTGCTAGATTGGCAGCCTTTCTGGTATAATTTCTCTGTAGCTGATTAAATTCTGCTGGAACCGACATAACAACATTATCAACTGGTGAACTGACGTTAGCAATGGCTGCCTGACGTAATGTGTGGATGATATTAGAGCCTACTTGCTCTGGTGATATACGTCGTACTGTATCATTGACATTCACAACATAACTTATCATACCATGGTCATCTAACTCTAACTGAAAACAAAATAGTTAAAATACATTCAAACATAGGAAACAGAATGGCTTAATATTTTGCTTTTCTAACTCAGAGCAGGAAAATGAATATGTGCAAAGAGACAGAGATTTCCAATAGGTTTTCTACTATTTTCCAACTATTATTGGATGCTTAATGGGGCATTCTTGGCGGTTTTTTTTGTAGATTAAAAAATGTTTTTGCTCAAATCTATGATAACTATATACCAAAGAAACATGTCTCTTAACTTACTTGATAGTTTCAACTAAAAATATCCAGGCATTAATCTTTTAACACCAAAACTATTTAAAAACTATACGTAAGCTTACTAAGTTTTTAGTACCAGGTAGATGTAAGAAAACTATTGTACAAGCAAAATAAACACCAAATGGAAGAGAATTATGTCCCCCTTATTTGCAAGGTTTCAACTAAAAACATCGAGCAGTGAGCTGTGAACACTTTTACTGATAAAAGCTAAGATAAACTATTCCTGTTTCTGAGACTAAGGAACAATTGGACAAATGGATATTAAAACTGCTTCATCAAGTGTTTTAACTTACTGAACAAAATCAGACAAAAACTCACCTGAAATGGGTAGCGTTTCCGTAAGCTATCTAAGTCTGACTTGTTGAAAACTTTTCCTATAAAACGTTTAGCATCATACAGTGTATTTTTGGGGTTGTGTTCTGATTGTGCAACAGCATGATAGCCTACTAGTATACCCTTTTCACTGCAAAACAAAATAATTTACTATTTATAATTACTCTATTGAACAGCATTGATCAGCACCTTTATGGGAAGTGTAAAAAACTTTGATAACTGCCTTATGCTCGAAGGTTGGGGAATGTGTTTAACTCAGCTTAACTTAACTCAACAAGGTGAGCCTTTAAAAGGGATTGTAAAGAGGTTTTCTAAAACCCTTTTTAGTATAAGGGACACTGCTTTCATTGAATTTGTATTTACAATTCCTCTTAAACTATGCGTTTTACGACATGACTGCCACAGAAATCCTTATTATCAAAAGCACCATTTGGGAAGCTGTCGTCACAATAATTTAACTTTAACACTGTAATGTTGACAGACATTGGGTAACATTACGAGTGTCTGTGATATTATCTTGTCCGTCTTCATTAGCCCACATGGTGCAGAAAAGTAGGACCTAAAACTCCATTGATTTCATTTCATTTGATATTGTCTTGTCAAAAGAGACTTGTTGTATTGTCTGCTAGGTCAAAGGAGATGAGCATCTACACTAGACCTATCCCCCAAAAAAAAACTGATTGTGGAACCTGAATTGCAGCCCAATACTACCTTACCAGAAGGCTACTACACTGGGTATACATTTATGACCATCTTGAACTTTTAATATATCAACATGGCCACTTATAGCATGATACATTCCTATACAGGAATAGGTCGTCCCTGAAATCATACAAAAAAAATAACATTAATCATAATCAAAGCAACATAGTCATCTCATCACTTGTTCTGGGTCTACCCTGCTGTAGATGAGTACGGATTTGTTTTTACCTTACATTTGAAAATTAAGTAAGTGAACAGTGTGGACTCAAAGGAAAATGAAATCTAAGTTATACTATTACTATGAACTATTATTAATCAAACTTACCTAAATCTACACCAAATATTTTAGGTTTTGGTGGAGGCAGATATTTCTGAGCAAAATATCCAGCTAAAAATATAGCCAGTATGGATGTCCCTGAAAATAACAAATATATTTCAAAACTACCCTAAAAGCAGGTTCCGCTCTTGATCTTGAGACATACTCTGTACAAACCACCAAAATGGCTACAGCAATTCTTCATAATAATTTCTAAGTTTGTTGACATTTTCATTAACACACAGTGCTATCTTGCAGTTGATAATTTTAGTTCATACAAAAATTACTGTCAGAAAGCGATTCTCAAGATTGTCAGATTCGAGAGTGTGAGACAGTAAATTCAACACTGTGGTGGCAGTATGCTTTAAAACCGGTGATATTCTGGTTGAATCTTCAATGTCCTGGACATAAGGAGAAATAAATAAAGCATACCAACCTAGAATTATAAAAGTTGTGCCCATTTTCAGTCAACTTTGCTTTATTCCATATGTTCAAGTTCTGTTTTGACAGCGCAACGTGTACTAGGATAGGGAATAATGAATTACGCATGTGCAGCAGGAAGTTATATACTTGATTGTTAAAAGCGTGTTCTCCCTTGCTATATGGTCCTACTTGTTTTGTCATCTTAGAAATAAGGTTGCAAAATAGAATAATTTGCGTCTCTATATTCATCTAAGTGGTACAGAGATACGTAAGATTTTGATTACCATCGTCTTACATTGAAAATTTTGTCTCTTAAGCTAAAAATGTCAATGTTTTACAACATAGAAAAGTTAGTCCGAACATCTGAACATGTATGAAAAGTTCACTAGCTGCTACCAATGATTTGCTAATATGTTCATATTAATTTCGGGTTTCGTTTTGCGGCTCTTAGTACTTGAGATCTCATTATATTTAACCTATGACCTTTCTCAAAAAATGATAATCTGATCAATGTTTATTCATATTGAGTATGAAACTTAATTATTTTTTTGGAAATTTTCTGACAATTGAGAGCTTCTTCCTTTAAAGTCAGATCAAAAAATGCTGTGAGCAATGTGGGGAAAAGTCTATCAATACAAATTATTTTGGTCTTCGGCCTTGCAATATATTCAGCTTTACGGAATCTAGCGAGGAATGCCGATTGATGTTTCACTAACAAACCGACATCCTGTATTCTATAGAATATGAAATAGACTGGGAAACAATTTGTCGACCACTTAAGCTATATAGGCTACCAGACGACATCCACAGTCAACTGAACAATATTGTGCACCAGGCCGCTCTCCCCAAAAAATAGATTGCCCCTCTGAAAAAATTCTGACAACCGACCAATTTCATTACTGCAACTAAACATGATACACCATTGCCCCTCCGAATATATTACTACATGCCTGTTTTATCCCACTTCCATGGCCTTATAGCCATTTAGCTCGAAAACATGTTAACTCCCTCGAAAGATATCCCTTTTAAAGCAATGACACATGGCCAATAGAACTCACGTGTCATTGCAATCTGGAAAAGGATACGTTATACAATATAAAAATACTTTAATACTTCATAGAACACTTTCATTTAGGAATATTACATTACAATAAATAATGAATTACAAAATATAATAAGTTAGACAGAAACAGCTGCCTCTATTCGAAACTCTGAGAGCTATTTTGACAGTTTGTCGGCCGGTGTAGTGACAGCAAAACTAGGCCCTGTTTTGTGGAGATTTTCTGCACCTCCGAAGGTGCGGTGTTTTAAACCTATTAATTCATATCGGATGTTTTAACGAAACTAATTTCTCGCTGGCCACTTCAGACTGCGTGAGCAACCAAAAAGTTCACAGGGTAAAAAAAATCTTCAGAGGTGTGGAAAATCTCCATAAAACAGTTTTTCTGGTTCTACTCCAACTGACAACTGTCAAAAAAGAGGCTGGAATAGAGGCAGATGTTTTAGATTTAATAAAGGTAAGCTATATTTTGGCAGTAATAAGTGGAATACAATACAGAATACCCTATTATAAACGACATACGGCGACATGTAGAATAGTGCATACATTTGAAGCATAAGGATAGTATTAGAATATTAAAAAAAAAAAAAACAGAAATTAAGAGAATTGCAAAGATGATTTCTTTTCTTGATCAGAGACATCAATAACGTCATGTACAATCCCCTTAAAGAGATAAATAGTCTTCAGAAGTCCTAAAAATGTACGAAAATCGTATAAATGCTTCAAAAGTATCTCAAACTAGAAATTTCACTTTCTATTTCTGAGACCATGGTACGATTTATCAAACGGATGGCGAACCTGTCCCTATTAACGTAGGAACCACACAATTGTTTACATTCAGAATTACATCTGAAACATGCTATAACCTAGTTTAAGTTGGAAACTGCGATTTTGTAGTCTTCAGTGCGTCCAGGTCGTTCCAGATTTTCTCAATTGCCATGTAAACAAGAGCAAACCCATGGTCTAAAGGGGTCGACAGATTCACCATTTTTGGGGGTTGATTATTATGTAAATTATAGTCTTCAGAAGTACTTGAAATGTACGAAAATCACACAATTCCCTCACAAATACCTCAAACTAGGAATTTCACTTTCTTAAAAAAAGTGGAACCTGTCCTGTTAATAAAATCACTGAATAAAAGACTGCTTCACAACTACGTAGGAGAAAATTAATGTGCATCGCGATAAAATATAAAGAACAATTGGCCTTGAAATAAAGCTGTCGTCTGCACTGTGATCTGAGAGGTACAAAGGAAAGGGGAATTGAATTGGTCGTGAAAATATATCCTACTAATTGTAAATTGACTTCAAACCATACAGTTTGAGATGTGACCAGTAGGTAGCCCAGGATCTGGGGGGTGGGGGGCAAAATTTTTCATATGGGCGGCTATGTGACTCAATAAAACATTCAAGTCATCTTAATGTTTAAGTGGGGGAGGGGTGTGTGTGGGGGGGGAGGTCCCAGTCCCCACCCCCTTGGCACCCTGAAAGAGTCAAAACATGTTGGAATCGATTTAGATTTGTTCTTGAAATATTCACAATTTTCTTCGCCTATGATTGAACACCGTCCGCAACAGAAAATTAAAACAACTAAACCAAAAGCTCCATTTAGATGAGGAAAGGCACATTCAATTCACAACACTGTTAGTTTTAGGCCTACTGGTTCTTTATTTTTGGCCTGTTAATGGCGTCACCAACATCTTGGTGCGTTGTTTGTGAGTAGGACGGTCTAGGACTCGGCTCGGATTCTTCTAATAATTTTCGAATATTCAAACGCGCCCTCTTGAAATCTGCGACCAATGACTGAAGATCCAAGAAAACAATAGCGAGGAAAGAGAGCACAATCACGAGCACACCTACGTAGCCAATTCCTTGAGCAGACGGTCTGTCATCTGACGCGCTGGTTTTCTTTCTGATCGTCTGCGAAACTAATTTTTTATCGACTGCTAGACCACTAATTATCGTCTGGACCCATCGCCTCAATTCGTCGTCAGTAGTGATGCTGTTGTTAAGGAGATCACACGGGCACCAGCAATCCGATTCGTTTCCGATTTGATCGGCAAATGGCGTCGTGACTGTTGTTGTACCGGAAATAGCTTTATCTGGAAATAGAAAGAATAGACATGAAATTCAAACATGAGCTCGATTTGAATTGTGAGCAAAGGGGCTATATGATATCTAAAATGACCACGGTGTTTAGTGTAATAATGCAGCCGGACCACTTTCAGTTCCGGTATTTAAAGAAATCGGCTTAGTTGACATTTGATGTCGTTTTTCAAAACAGCTTACTCTCTGATTTCAAGAATATTATTGATGAAACCAGATCATACCCCCCCTGCTTGGTGCAGGCATTTGTTGGGATTTAGAATCGTTTTTCAAAATATATACTCTAACGTTGTAAGCATATGAAATGAAAGAGTTAAAGGTATAGGCTAGTACCTCTTAGGATGACCAAAAATTGTCATTTTTTAAACTCTTTTAAAAATGAGTCTACGTTCTTCATTGGACTTACCTGGTGTCAAAACTATATGACAGAATCACTCATTAAATCTATAAAGCTAAGTATTAATCCATTGAAACTAAGTAAGTTTGAAGCACGCTTTCACACGTTTTTCAATAATTACTTAGTTCAATGAAAGTATCGTCTAATAGCCATGGCACCTGGTAAGTCTAACTGTTATTAACTCTTATTTACTCTTATTAACCAAGTTTGAGACTTTAAATTCCATGTCCATTCGAAGAGGTAGTATTCCTTTAAGAAAGGTAGGTCTGTGATCATGTAGGAAAAGGCCTCATGATAATTCTTTAAAGCTCTAAATTATGGCTGTATATCAATATTGTATGGCACTTGCTTTAACATCAGAAATTGTTATTCTTATCTTGAGATTCGAAGATACGGCAACATTGTATCTAAAACAGTGGCTCCCAACCTTTCTCGGCCTTCACACCCCTGGAGCAATCACCTGGGCCTTTCACACCAAAAATTTGTTTCATCCACATTTTCAGCATATGATGAAGTGAGGTGCACTCTCAATTCAAAATAAATTCTTCTCTTACACTAGTTGGCCACAACCCTGGTATCCTAGTCCCACACCCCCAGGGAGTGAAAACACCCCAGGTTGGGAACCAGGGATCTAAATAAATACGTATATTGGTCAGAGGATTCAATTGAGGGTGAAATTAAATCTGATAAATAGACACAGTTCGATATTGGCCGTGCTTTAATCAATTACTTAATTAATAAAAATTGCAGAAAATCATGTGAAATTTGTTATTCTAATTAATTAATCAATCTCAGACGACGTTATCAAATATAATACAAAAAACTTCCGCTTCAGCAAATATTGTCGCGTGACACTATGGATATCTCACCTGAAACTGGGTATTTAAAGGTGCGTTTCCATAAAAAATTAAGTTGGATATGAATTCGTTGAGTATGGAATTTGCTCACATAGCCCAGTATATAGCTCTGACACTCACAGTCCTAATGTTTCAGTGCATGCTCTGGAATCATTGGATCTTATGAAATGTTGATATCGGTAGAAGTAATGTCAAATTGTGACATCGATTAAAAGATCCTTGTCTAGTCATCCGCCTTCATGAAAATGATTGGGTCAATCGAGTACTACAAGATTATTCCCCAAACAAGAATGCAATATATAGATTTAAATGTTATCTTTGGCATCGAACTCTATATCAACGGCAGATATATTCTATGATTTTAACGCATTTGTTTTTTGGCCGTGAAAAGACATGCCGGATTCGGAACTTGAGTCGGTAGCGGTACATTGCCGTTTTATATACAATGTATAATAAAGATAACAATACTTTATTTGATAGGAAAACCAGTACACCAGCATGTTCTTTAATAAGCAACGTTACATGATATAATGATCATCTAGTTAGATGTGAATAATCGTACCGTTGCTTAAAGAACATGGTATGCAAATCTGATATAGTATTTTGTACATAACCTATA